TAATAATAATAATAATAATAATAATAATAATAATAATAATAATAATAATAATAATAATAATAAGCTAACTAATAAAAATAAAGAGGCACGCAGAGCAAACTGCGAAACTAATAATAATGGCATCTACCAGAGTGGAGTGGATTTTTACCTCAGTGATTTGTGTTTTCAGTCGTGGTTTGCCTGTGACGTAAAAGGCGCTTTTGTATTCTAGTAACTTGCACACAACTTGCTGTGATGCCAAACTTTCTATCATCTCTGTGGAGCTGGTTCCATGTGGGCAACTAGGAACAATAGCTGTTTTATGAACACGTGACAAACACCTCAGCGGTATAAGCCGAGGACAGAATGTGGGAGATACACAAGTCATTAGTGTGTAGCTCACTTGGCGTTATCACCGAGTGCATGAGGGACACTTGATTGCGGCTTTAGATGTTCAGATGCGTAGTGTTTGCTGACCTCAAAGAAGCACTTCTTGAGAGAGGCTGGGACTTCTCCATCCAAAACCTGCAGAACTGCTTCGATATCTTCCCTGGCAGCATATCCGCCCAGATCACTGGCAAACAGGCTGAAGAGGTCTGTGAGCACACACACACACACACACACACAGTCAGAAGAGAGTTCAGCTTTATCACAGTAAGGCAGACCTCTTGCACGCAGCAGCAGCGAGGACGATAGAAGCTACAATGTCAATAACGTCCTGCTGGATTTGACTCCCTGCAACACATCAAGTACATCTATCAGAATAAGACTGAAGAAGCGACAGAGAGGAGAGAGGAAGAGGGATAAACAGAAGAAAAGAAGTGTGGATTAGGGGGGAAAAAAACACTTTAATTCCATCATGGCTGTTAATAATCAAAAGAATTCACCCATGAAGGAAAAATGCGTCACTATGTACTTAAATTCACGTCAAGTTAAACACCTCTATGCTTTAAGGCTATTTCTAGCTTTAAGGATGACTGGCTGAGTTTACTCTGCTACAATGAGATCTGCGTCACACAAACATAAAGACATGCTGGCTATAATTGTGAATGTTATTTTAAGCTTCTAGTGTTCTGATAGTACACGTCCTCTTCTCTTGTACAGGAACAATGATGCGTCAGAGACTTTTTAAGGCTTGTATGAATACAGAGCTCTTTGGGTAGGCTAATCACGACAAAGGTTGAGTAATTGTGTTCGAAAATGTCAGGTTCATTGATAAACAGTGGGGTCATTCCCAAGTGTTCCCATCGAAAAAACTATAAAAAGCTTAACAGTCTGCTGTGAGAGCTGCTACAGGTGAGCACAAGCTAAAGATTGTGCTTTGTGGAAACACACAAACCCTGACCAGCTGTATTTAGTTCACTGAATCAATTTAGCATTGTTAAAACAAGGTAGGGTTCCTAACATTTAAGCAGTTTGATTATTTCAGCAGCTCTTACTGCCTTCTTCTCTAACAGCGAGCAGAGGCTCAATGGTATCATTAATATACCAAATAAAATAACAAACACAGCCCAGTTTCATAAAGCTGATGATCTGGGGTATATTGGTAAATGAACCAGGTAATTAATTGTGCCGGAACATCATTGGCAGAAAATGTAGATATGTCCGGTTATAGTGGAGGAAAATAGCTGCCAAATGTCTTTATCGAGTGGCTTACAAAATACAGAAAAGAAATATGGCTTAAGTGGAACCACAGCTCCTTGACGACTTATCTGTTTATCGGATTATATAGACAGCAGAGTGGAATGTAAAAGCAGTGCAATTTGGAGTTTGGTACAATCACACCAGAAATTATTAAGACACCTTCACTTCTTGTACACTTTGTTTTGCTGTAAAAATTCATTTTAAACAGATCTGTACTACCAAACCTGTAATGACAAAGCTATTTATTTATTTATTTATTTATTTCTAATTCTGTCTCACGAGACAAAAATGTTACTCTTGGAGCACAACTCCAGGCTAATCATCTGGTTAATACCACCCCTACAGTGCAGCATGGTGGTGGCAGCACCATGCTACTGGGATGCTTCTCAGCAGCAGGAACACAGACACTGGTCAGAACTGAGTCAAGGATGAATGCACCCAGAGAGGACCTTGAAGAAATGCTGCTTCAGAGTGCAGCGAACTGAGCATGGGGAAACGGTTCACCTTTCAGTATCACTACGGCCTGAAGCAAACAGCACAGGCATGACAAATCTCTGCCCTCGAGTGGCCCAAACAAAGTCAAGAATTAAACCCAACAGAACATCTGTGGAGAGACCTGAAGATGGTAGTTTATAGACACTTCTTATCCAATCTGACAGTCAGTATCTGTAGTGAGCAGATGTATCAGATAGATGGATAAACTGCCCAAATGCAGGAGCACAAACTTGTAAAGACTTACTCAAGACTCCAGGCTACCAACACCACCAAAGAGGTTTCTACAAAGTACTGAATTAAGGGTCTGAACACTTTTGTTAATGACAGATGTTAGTTTTCGATTTTGAATAACTTTTCAATATATTTTTTTTAAATTTCAAAAATGTATTATTCACTTTTCCATAATAGATAATTGATTGTAGATGAATAGGGAATGGACATTTTGTCTGTTTAAAATTAAATCTACTGCATAATAAAGTGTTAAAAAGTGAAGGGCTCCAAATACTTTCTGAAGTGACTGCATAGAGATGAAGTCTAACTGTGGCATAATGCTGCATCAAGCTGGATTGATTTATTCATGCCACTGCTATTTGATACAGACATCATTTTTGTTATTTTTTCCACATGCATCACAAAGAAATTAAACGACTCCAGACCGCCTCTGTGCACTGCTCCCATCAGACTGGCCAACAATGAACTGGATGACTCTCTCTGACTCTCGATAGCAAAGGGTAGACTGTTGCTTTAAGTTTGCAGAAACCAGTAAAGAACACTTGCACTAAATATACATTTGAACGGACTGATGCGTGCATGGGGCTCTCACAATCAGTGAGCACAGGGACTGTTCACACAGCTCGCGTGCCGACTGTGCTACCAGAACACTTGTTTCATTCGTCAGCTGTATATCATGATGCATGTCCTGTATTCTCCATCCTTACAGAAGCACACTGCATTCACAAAAGAAAAAAAAAAATGAAGACCTTATCTCATAATTATAATGTGCTATCTCATAATTACAAGAAACATTTTAGACAATGAAGTACGCCAAATTACCTATTAAAGCTTCACTTTTACAATGTACCACTGGATGCACTGACAGCTACCACTGAATTACTTAGACACTGATGAAATCTTAAAAACTGGAGGACTCTCAGGCAAGTTCTGAAGTGTTCCAATCCCTGCCCCATTTGCCTATTGTGCATTACCTCGTAATTATGAGATTAGGAGATATAAAGTCCTAATTGTGAGATAAGGTCCTAAAAAGTTTTTTTTTCTTTTGTGAAAGGCAATGAGTTTCAGGACATCTATTTCTTGGGGCTTTAATAAGTTAAGCAGCCAAAAACTAACGTATTGCAGTGCTTGTAAATCAGAAGCTGCCCACCTGGAGTATGATCAGGGCTAAACATACACAGTTAAACTGCTTTAAGGTCTTCATATGCCCTAAGTACAGCACTCGGAAGTCAAAAAAAAAAAAAACAGAAAATGACCCTGACACAGTGTAACACCAGGTTCAGTAACTTTCTGTCATTTGGGCATGCAGCCTTCAATGTTTCAAATGACTTAATGGATAAACTGAGGCATTAGCTGGATGGGTTTTTACAGACACTTAATAGTAAATTCTGTTCAAGTCAAGTTCTGTCACACAGCATCAACATGAGGTTATAAGGACCAACTTACACTTGGCCTTCTCCTCATCGCGTCCTCTGGTCAGAAGCACCAGACCCACGATCAGATTGTTAAAGTGCAGCCCTTTGGATGAGCCTCCGAACGAAGTGTAGATCACCTGAAACACACACAAAATAGAAATGTGAACTTCAGAACCTCTTGGTGCTCACGCCATCATGATCAACAGGTTTAGCAGAAGTCCGGGACGACCGGGAAACTCCGCTAATGTGCAGATGAGAGACGGATTCTACCGAAATCTTCAGCTGTCAACAGTCTGATTACAGGTCTCTATAATTTCAGTGTGACAATAAAACAGGTGAATATAATGGAGTTACCACTTGTTAAATTCGCGGTGATCTAATAATGCAGTCACGTAATAAAAACAACCTTTGAGCAGAAGTTTAAATAAAACCAAACACACTACAACGCAAAGTGCTGACTCGCTATGCATAACACATCCCATTTCCAGAGCATATTCTAGACTTTGATGGCAGGACGGTGTGCACCCTAGCAGATGAGTTAGAACATGGGGGTATCACATTGCAAGATTACTTTGTTTGTGGCTGCACATGCTTGTTTAAGCATAATCTCTTTCCATCTTTATTTCTCTCCCCAACCCACACACGGAGAAGCAGATACGTACAGAGGCTTAAATGAGGGATAGGAAAGAGCAAGAGGAGAGGGAGCAAGAAGAGCGTGGGTAAGCAAAAGAAGGCAGCTAAACAGTAATTAAAATTTAGCTTAATTCCATCAGTGTTTCCTTGTGGTTATTTACTAAATTAAAAATAGCAGCAGATAAGACACTGAGCAAAAAGCAAGGGAGCAGATTGCACGACATGGGAATGAAAGACCTGATAATACGTCTGGAACTCAGCAGGAACCAGAGCTGTTGTTTATAGATACACATGTGTGTTAGGATGCGCCTATTCCAATATTGTCAATAACAATAGATCTGACTTTTAAAGAGGACACTGAGTTTTAAAGAGGGTTTTGATTGTGGGCACTAAATAAAATGTGGACATAGCCACCATAACGTCATCCATTGGTTGGTGGTCTTGAACAGTTTAGATTTTGTCTGCCACCCTGAAACACACCCTACCCTGTCGACTATTTTACTCTAAATGGGATTGTAATTTACAAAATGAAGATCGCGCTGTATTCAACAGGTCTTAAACTAGTGATTGAGACCATAAACTCATTAGGTAATGTTTACTGAGCTAACAAACTGAAGGAGAAGTGGGGCCATTTTCTCAAAGACTTCCATACAGTCTGGCCTCTTTTCGGAACCAGGGGATTCATCCAGTTCAGGTTTAAAGCACTTCTACGCTGGCTTCAATCTTCAGACCTGGAGTCCATCTTTCACATACAGTCTATGCTCAGCAACCCTTTGGTTATACTTGTATTTCCTGGCTCTAAATGTCGCTTCTAAAAAGACAGCTGCTGGGCATTGGGGTGGTCCATTAGATGCATTCCATATTTTGCACTACATATATTCTGGATTTGATTCTCAGCTGTGCGTTCTTGTTTTATGCACTCCTTCTTCTTAGGTCCAGTGGGCTCTGAGGAACTGACACCCGACTGGATCCAAACTTTGCTCTTTCTAATCTCGTTAAATCTCCTTTTACTGCCAAGGGTCTTTTGTCTGTGCGTCAATATGCCCAATACCCGACCCGAGTGGGATTAAATGGATCTGAGTGTGTGACATATCTAGGATCACATGGCGTGCTGCTTGTCATTGCAGGGGAGAATGGTGAGCTTTGAGGAAACAGGAGAATGCAATGCAAGAAAATAGAGGTGTTTTTGGACATGCTGTTGTTGCTGTTTGTGTTTTCTCAGCTGCATTTTGGATTGTGTGTAATTATCCTCTTTCTGGTTTGGAGATGCTGGTGCTCAGGTCTCTCTTTTGTCATAACTGCCTGCATTTGACACAAGACAGTGTAGAGGTATAGAGAACGAGAGCAGAGATACGACATGCTGCAAAGGTTCCCCAGCTGGGAATCGAACTGCAGACTTTGCAGTTACACTATATATACAATACAAAATATCAATGGATGTATGCATGTCACGTTCAGGTGCGTTTTCTGTGGGTCCACTTTGGATCATGGACATATTTTTGGACCTCTCCCTTTATTTCTTCTTATTACAACTGCAACAAGAAATTAACAATAAGGAAAAGTAATTTCGTACATGTTTGTCTACAACATGTCAGAAAATATCAGAAAAGTGAACAATGCCCATTTAAAATTCTATCAGTTCAGGTAATGATTTCAGAGGACTTATTTCAAGCAACACTTCAAAACCCAAAATATTGACTTTATCCATTCATTTATGACAAAAAAGCAGCAAGTCATCAAAGTAATAACACCTTTGGTGGCACCAAAGCACTTAATCAAAACAGTTTCTGATTATTTTATGTGCACTGATGAATTTCCATGATTCTACTGTTTAATTTTGAATAAAAGCAAAACATTATGAACTAAATTTGTTATCCAGAAAACTTGCAAATTTTTCAGGTCCACAAGTAATGTCAGTATTGTGCAGGGTCCATAAGATCCTGTTCAAATCACAGAAAGATAGTAAGAGATTAACCTTTCAGTTATGATTCTTCCGTCAGACCCAGTGTTCCCAGGCAACGACTGATGTTACACTCTCAAAAGAATATTACATCATTACATCGACGTTTGTTTCAGGCCTTAGAGTCACATTGGAGGGAGGGACCTGGGTCGCTTTTTGTTGCACTGCATGATGAAATCGTGCGATACAAAAACACTGAGATAAAAATATATCTATCATCCTTACAAAATCCAAATCCGCTCAGCTTTTCCCCGGAAGCTGCTGCCCGTGATAGGGGGTGCTGTTGCGGTCTAGCGAAGCTGAACTCACAGAGCGTGAAGGAGAAGTTTACGCAGCAGTGTCTGCAAACATGCAAAGCGTTTGAGGTGACTCTGCAGTCAGTGAGTTGATGAAGCATGTCCATGTCAGTGGGTCACGTACAGCAGAGCAGCTTCACTTGCGGTTAAAAAAGGAAGCCAAACCGTGTCATACGCTAAATCTAAATCCAAAACAAAAACACTTCCCCTATCTGCTGCCTTCTCACCGTCTTCTGAAATTACTTTCCCAGTGCTTAAAGAAATACTGCTGCTTAAGCTTCCTTCTCATTTAAACATCTTTTTATTAGAAAAACAAATCCAAGTATCAGCAAAATAAACTAATGAGCACATGTACTGATTTGTCTACTGATCTATTTATTAACCTTATGAGCCCGAGGCTATTTTCAGGGTACTTATAGGAGAGCTTTACTTTTAAACGCTTATCTTGATCAATATAAAGGTTAACCAAACATGTCGTATCTTGTTTTTCGAGGCCATCCTGATTTTCTATCATTTTATATGATAATATTTGCTGAGTTTGTGTATTGAACTTTATATCAAAGACAAATATATATATATATTATGAGATGGTCATGTTTTTACATGTATCTCACCATAAGATGCTGGCAGTAGAGATATCTTTTCCTAATGGTGTAGGGGAGATTATCTAGAATCTGGCAAAATCAGGACTATGATGGGGGGATATTGCATGACTTAAAAACTGGGACAAATATGTACTTAGTGCCTTATGCAAATAAATGTCCTTTTTTTAAGAGAAGGGTCACCCTACAGTCGAGGTGGCAAACCAAACACCAGTGGCTCTGAGAGTTAAAATGTAACTATATGTAATTAAGGTTTTTATTCATTTTCATCCGCAGTGCTCAATGATTATACGAAACCTCCAGCAGCTTGATGATTCATTCTCTCCCCTTCTCTGGCAAACAATACAGCGCTGCTGACTCTGTATTTTACAAACACATTCATCTTGTTCATTCATATCGTTTGATTGAACAAGAGTCACAAAAACAGTTTCCAAAATGTCCTATGTGACAAAAACGTGATAAAGTATGCAAAACAGGTACAGTAAAATGAGATGAAAAGGGGAACTCCACCCATCCTACGCGTAAAGGTCAGTTGTCATGGAAAGTACTTCAACCTGTAAAAAGAGCTGCAATCCGTCTTTAGGGGCTCTGAGGGACCTTTGTCGAGTCGGTAAAAATAACCCTGCTGATGATAGGGTAGGATGCACAGTTTTTTTGGAACATGACCAAAATTAGGGGCGAAAAGACAGGAAACCATGACCTGCTTAACATTTTAACTAGATTTGTTTTATTTTTTGTTAAATTTGTCCTGTTCTGATTCATTGGGTGCAGGCTATTGGGATAAGTCTTTCATTTCCACTGAATATTTCACGTGACATTTATCTCCCATTGTTGCATCCTTGGCCTGATGACAATAAAGATTCTAAAACAAGCCAGAGCATTTACCCCCCTATGGCAGAATGGTAATGAGGTGCAGCTTCACCGTGCTCCAGTGCAGACACAGTGCTGTGGACATACAAACTACATTTTGCCAACCCAAAACAAAAAGTTGGCTAAAGGAAGTATGAACTTGAGCTACTTAATTTTTTCCAAACCACACTAACTCATTAAAATAAACGGTTGTGTGAGAAATTAGAATTTGCCTGTCATGTAGTTTACTCTTCATCAGCCTGACAGTCTGATTATGTCCCTCCTGAGAAGACAGCATGACATTGATCACAATGTCAAAGTGTTTGGACTGACAATTTCATGTGTGTGTGTATAATGCATATGCATAGAAAATGAATGAATCAAGCTTCTGTCTTCACAACAATATTTTAGTTCAGAAACAATATTCAACAATATCAACTGAGTGGAATCCCCAGATATTTAGGGGAAACCCCTGAAACAATCCATTAAGTCATGCATTGCCACCAGTGTGCCCCCACTCACACGACTGTGGGGGCGTTTACAGTCATCAGCCACAGTGGTGTACTTTACAGTGGCTTTTTTTTAAAAAAATCATGTCGTGCTAAAAGGAAGAAACATATATTTTTATCTTGTACGCAGTACATGCAGGGCCCATCAACATTTAAGTAAGGTGTTGAGTTCATAAATAATAATGACAAAAAAAACCCCACTATAAAAGAAACCAGTTGTGACTGCCGGGTCTCAGAAACACATGACGCAGCTTTGACATGATACTAAGTGGATCTTATAGGATTTCT